ATGAAGATAGTCACCTGCATGGACCCATAGGGTGCCTGATGGGGTTAAATGAAAAAAATTATATAATTGACCTGATTTGGTGCCTTGAGACCCATGCAGGTTTTTACTGGAAGATATGTACTTCAAGTAGGATAACTCAGTTTGAAGTTTAGAACACTTACACTCAGATTCATTTGCAGATACCACTCGAGGTTAACCCTTACGGTGTGTAACCTCTCCGTGCATACCCACCACAAGGTAAAGCGTGAAAAACCTGTGGCTGTCGGAGTGTGCATTCATCGTCCCACTCATACAATATCAACGTGAGAGACAGGGATATGTGGGTTTCACTGGATTGGACCCAGCATTCTCCTGACTCAAATGGTGTAGGTGTTCAAGCTACCTAGAATCTACTTAAGAGAAAGGCCCGAATAGTGCACCACTACACTATCCAACTCCCAGCCAGCCAATATCAACTACAGAGATCCATTGCCAGATCATCTCCCAGACCGGCTTTTGGAAAGTAGTAATCCAGTGCTTAACAAAGGTATCTTTGCATAAATCAGTGAGTGAATGAGTAATACAGGCCTTTGGGGATGGGTAGTATTTATGATATAGGAAGCGTCCACATATTACTTTCCAGGCTAATTATCTGAGGAGATTAACATTTTAATTCAGATACCTTTGTGTGATGGATGGTTCAAGGACTAGCCGAAGATTGCATTAGTGAACTGTTCTGATTACAAGAAGCGGAAGAAAGGGCTTACACAGATCTTCAGCTTCGCAACCTGTATTATCCGGTATAGTTTGAGTAGCCTGGGCACCTACTCCACTTGGGAAAGAGACACCTCAGATCACATATCGGGCGGAGAAAAGTTGAAAGATGATGGAGGCATGTCTGGATAACTTTGGGTTTTTGAGACGTTCCCATGAGTGGGTTTTCACGGATGAGGGTTAACTTGGGGTGAAGAAAAAGCCGCCATAACTTCGCAGTAGTACTTGCAAATGAAATCTGAGGCATGAGTGCTCTTCCCTTAGGTTGAATCATCTATTCTGTCCTTTTCTTTGATATTTTGTCATAGCTAGATAGCTGCAAACGCAATTAAAATCTGATGCAAAAAAAAACCCTTGTATTATCCTCCTCTATTGATCATAAACATCAATGGTATCATGCTACCTCATATATCACTTCTTAATCTATATATTCTTAATTCCAAGGGTTCATTGTGAACCCTCAATAATCACCTTACACACTTCGAAGATAGAAGATCTTATCTCTTTTGGATCGCACCATAACAGTGTGGCTAACAATCACAAAATCCCTATCAAATGATCATGTTCTGCCAAGATGGTCAAATGATAGAGGGGAGATTTACAGGAAAGCACGAAAATACTCTTTCGAAGCAGGGATAAAAAATCCTGGTGGCAGTAAAAGTACCAAATAGTGGATAATCAGTCATCGTTGGATAAAACAGTTCCGCATGACAAGTATATTCGAAATGTTGCTTAGAGAACGAAACAGCACGGATACAAGTTCATAGTCATGGTTAATACAAGAGACATGATTGGTACACATACACGGCATTACAGTGAGAGAGAGCTATGTTTATTGCGCCACCTGGGTCATACGCTATATAACAAATCGGGCTCCTCCCCAACCCAGGCCACACCTTACACAGTGCTCCTATTCTCTTTTATTACTTGTGAGATGATTGATGTATTGCCCTTGATGAATAGCCATTCAGCTCAATATATACCCATAGAATTCAGCCACTTTTTCCACGGAACCTTCTGTCCCAAAAATATAAAAATGGTAGCAATCGAAACTGCGTGCGCAGAAAAAAGTCATAAAAACCCTGCAGCCCTAGCCAGGCGAGGCCTAGACACCAGGACCATATGAGATGCGCGTGCGCATGTTCATCTTTATCTCCCTTCTTTCTAACATTGGAGGACAACTTGATTCAATCCACCACCGCCGTGTCGGGTGCTTAGTACGCTCTGGAAACTCATAAGATGCCCTTTGTGCCATGATCAAGGGTGGCTAATGATTAGGGCTTCAATCCTATTATCTGATCTGATTGCGCTTAGCTTCATGATAATGGTAATTGATGAATTTTATGAGAGATGAAGAAGATAAAAACTACGAAAGTAAGTGGGTATCCTTTTCTTGCATCAGATTTGAACTGAATGTGTAGCTATCTAGCTGTGACACAATATCAGAGAGTACATAACAGATGTCTCAACATACAAGAGCAATCATGTCTCGGATTCATTCGCATATTCCACTGCGAAGCTATGGTAGCTTTTTCTTCGCTCCAGGTTAACCCTAATCCGTTAATTCCAATCCAGGGAAACTTCTTAAAGCCCCTGAATTATCAATACATGCCACCGTCATTCGTTAGTTTGTCTCCGCGCGAAATATAGTATGAGGCGTCCCCTTCCCAAATGGAGTAGGTGCTCAGGCTACTCACACTATATCAGAGAATACTAACAGGAGGCGGACCGCAACACCTTCCATCGTTGGCTTGCGTTTAGTGGCAGCTGCACTCTCGCAAGCAAAGTCCTGGCGTGCACAAAGCTCAATTCATAAAACTCTTGCCATATTTCGGAATCTTACACCTGTTGAGAAAGTATCCGTGCTCTGTATAATCTTGAAATCTTATCCCGATTTCTCTCACACCTATCCCAAAGAACTTTCTGCTAGACTTGCGCGCCATGATTTTTCCTCCTGCAGGTATTCGTGTTGTCGTAAGGTTGTAGTAAGTGCCCAGCTGAGGCCAGGAAATATTTGATGGGAGGTTTACTCATGGGTATAATGATGTACTTATTCGTAATTGCAGACTTGATGAGGATTAGGTAGGTCTTGATCTCTTTATGAGTGGAAATTTGACATGTTGGAGTATTTTAGTTCACTGACTCGTAGGTCAAATTATTTTGGTATTGCGAAACTTGACTGAACCCGGCTCTGGAAGAATATTTCACTTTCAGGTTCGTAGAGGACACCGCGCATAGATGTTCATTCTATGTCCTCCTGAAACTTTTTCAACCATAAAATATTGCATATTCACGTAACTTTTATGAGCTTCCGTTGCTATTTAAAGTCTGAGATATGGGGCACTAGTTTATTAAGATATTCGACAGACGTTTGATGGCTGTAATAGTTTGAAATAGGACTGATTTAGAACCAAACTAATTACTTAGTTGGAATGAGGAGATATAAATAGGTATCATCTGAAGATTTTGCCTGTGTGGTATCTATGGCTAAGCTTAGACGAATCAACAACAGGGTGAAGGGATTCGGTTTAAACTTTACAGGTAGAGGTCGAATTATGAAGCTAATTTTGACTAATCAGTTATTTGTGTCATAAATATAAACATAAATACCAAAATATTGATAAGTAACAATTAATTATCTGGACGTTATTTTTCGTCTTGTTTGTCCACAGCTCTACAACTTTATATTTTTCATGATATGATATTTTGTTGACATAGTAAACTTAAGTCATTGATAGGATATGTAGATCATGTCTGTCTATAGCCCGAGAATATTAGTGCCTCAGCAATTTGCAATCTCGGATGTCACCTGTATGGCCTCCGCTAAGTGAATTCAATCCTGCAAAACTTAAACCAATCAGTCACTTAGTTGGGCTATTATCTCGTCGTTAATTTTACTCCATGATAAACTGGTTGTGCCATTTTTCGGTTTCATGCTTCCTGGTAATTTTTCAAAAAGTTTCAGGTTTGGCGCTTCCTTACTAACAACATATAGTCTAGTTCGGAAGACTAGGATAAACATCAGAAGACTTCGAAGATCTCGATAAGCTAGGTACGGTAGACATGTGTATATATCTATGGTTATCTCCCTCCGTAGCCACTCCTGACCTCCCGGATACATTCTACAGGGTATTCCAAAAGTCGGGTTGAAATACCATGTAATTCTTGACAGATTGTATGCCGAAGAATACCCCAGCCTTGCTTTCAATCATCTTGATTGATATGGAGCCGTCGAAAACGTCATGGGTTCAAGTACTTCTCACTAGTCCTAGGAAGGTAGGAGTGAATAGACGATACCTTCAGGGATTCGGTTTCTGATATTTGCAAGGACGAAAGAATATTATGGTTTACTTTTGTGGGCATTTCTTAGACCGCAGGTAGGTAACCCATGTTAGGTTGCAATAAAGACTTATCCGACTACTGAAGCGGCCTTTCATTGCACAATATTTTTCGTTTTCGCTGGGGGCATCGTAGTCTTTGCTATCTGAGAAGAAGCTGTCTGAAGCGTTGTTGTTGGTTTGTAGCAATGTGAGGCTCTCAAGATATTTTTGAGAAAACTCTGTAAAGCCTGCCTGGCATATCTGGATAAAACTAATTTTTGGATCCCAGCTCGCAATTTTTTCCACTCTGTGTTGACCTTACCTAAGCGGCTCCCCATCTGCTCTAGGCCCAATGTCTGCCAGCTATTAGCTATTCTCCTCATCTTCCCAGAAGATGCGTTTCTTTTCCAAATTAACCCCATCCTGTTAACAAAAGCACATTACATCCGAGCAGAATTTTTAGCGCTCATATTTCTCCCTCATAGAAGGCCCCTATGAGTTCTCGATCCTGCCTCCACACACGCGTAAATTTATCCTGGATCAAGACGTTCAACCATTTCTCCAAAAGCCATATTCTTGGCGTGCTAGAAAGAAAAGTAAGTCTTCAAGGGCTTTCACCTTTCATCTCGACACTTTAGCCTCCAGATTCTTAATCCGCATAGTTCCTCACTACTACTGGTTCAAACCTTCGGCACTCAAATTCTCGTTGACACTCCGACCAACTCGTATTTGTCTTTCAGACAGTCTATCAAAGCGACTACCTCTTCACAGCCTATGATAACTACCCTTGGTCTAGGCTTTATAACTCAATCGGCAAAGTTTTATATCTTAATTCAACTAGCTTCAGCATGCGACTCAGATTTAGAGATTCGTGAACCAATCTTCGCTTTTTCCAATCGCCCATCCAACTGAGGGCTTACTAGGATTATGACTGAAAGGCCACTTTCAATCAACACGCAAGCAGCGACTCTCCATTCAACATTTTATTCGCCACAATTAAATGATACCCCTCTGCTTACTGAATCCGCAGATGACGAACCATACACTATTAAATGCATATGCGACTATTCCGATGATGATGGAAACACAATATACTGTGAGAAATGTGACACATGGCAACACATTGAATGCTTCTACCCTGGAAGAGTTGACGATGCATCGAGGGAGGAGTTTGATCATTCCTGTGCAGATTGTAAGCCGCGGTCTTTAGATAGGCGACACGCTACTGAAAGACAACGTCTACAGAGACAGAACAAGCTAGGAAATGATGCAATAGACAAAAAAATCAAACGTCCGCCTTCCAAAAGTCATAAAAAAAAACCAAAAATATCCGAAATCCAGTCAACCAATTTTCAGGACCATGATCCTCATCGAAACAGCATAGAACATCAATCATCTACAAAAAAGTCAAAGGTTTATCGCTCATCGCAGCAAGTTGTAATACAAAATAAAAGAAGTCCGTCATTCACCTCTCGGCAGGAAACTAGTTCTCGTCCTTTAAGCCCAGCGCACACCTTACCAGATTTACCAACAAACTTCCAATTACATGGATACTCTGAAAATTTTCAGACCCTCTATCAACAAGGCCATGTCCAGCTAACTTGTACTAATTCTTTCGCTAGCCTATCCGTTAGTAATTCCATGAGCGAATGGCTCCGAGATCCTAACAGACTTTACCAAGACGCAGGAGTCAGGGATAAGGAAGACGTATTTCTTCATCTCAAAGTTAGTGTTGATACACTCAAGTGGCCTGAATTGCGGGTTGAAAAGAAGGAAGACATATATCAGGATACAATTCTCCAGTGGCAGTATCTAATAACACCAGTACATCTTCCTCAGCCGGGTCGGATTGTCGAACTCAACGGACTAGTCGGGTTTCAAAAAGACTATTGTAGCGACGTGGAAAATCGCTGGACGGACTCGGCTCATCCCCGTCCTTTCGTCTTCTTTCACCCTCGATTACCGTTATTCATCGATACGAGAAGAGAAGGTTCGATTGGAAGACATGTTCGACGTAGCTGCCGCTCAAACACAAATCTTGAGACTTTTATTGCAAGTGGAACTGAGTACCATTTCTGGCTTACTAGCGAAAGATCACTTTCTGCAAATGAACAAATAACTATCTCATGGGATTTCCGCTTCCCTCCCATTTGCAGGTCGCGATTTCTGCACCTTCTAAATCTTGGAGACGAGGACGGCGCGCCTTCTGATGGCTCTGATATTACGCAGGAAGAATATGAGCAACTCACTCAAACTATACAGCTTGTACTATCAGATCATGGGGGTTGTGCGTGCGATCTAGGAAGTGACTGTGCGTTCGCTCGCTTTCATAGAAATTACCAACAGAAAACATTAATTCAGGCCCATGGAGTTAAGTCGAAAAAGCCTCGAAGGACAAAACAGTCTTACATAGTCGTAAACGGAACAGATAACTCGTCTTGTAGCCGGGCAACAAGCGAAGTTCGTCAGGAACAAAATGATGAAGAAGATAGCCGCTCACTACCTGGGTCGGCTCGAGGCAAGTTCCATAGCCGAGATCCATCTTCTGTCGTTTGCAATAATGACACAAACTTCGTGTTAACTGAACCTTCAGACCGAGAAAAGAGAAAACTAGCCATGTTAGAGGACTCGTTTCGAAAGATGGAGCAAGGTCAGCCACCGCGAAAGAAGAAAAGAGCCTCGGACGGCACCAACTCAAGCCCATCAGTAAATTCAACACCTGCCCAGGCACTTCCCAGAGTAAGACAACGTTCAAACGTAACGTCATGGCCTCCCAACGCGCAGTCGAATTCTTCGAATCAGAACTCGTCTCGATCGCGTAGTGGAGAAGCTAATCCACGACGACACATAAAATCACCGTCCGATACGTTATCTCTAACTGGTGAAATGCCTCCACCATCCAGTAAGTCACTAGTATCAGATTTTGAAAAAAATCAGACGACTCAGCTACCGACCGTAAAAAACTTATACCAAGACTCTTCAACTCAGACTGATGAGTTCAAAGAATTTTGGTGGAGCCGACTCAACCCGCTTAAAAGACGATCGATTATCCCCCTTTCGAAAAGACTACTCCGTAATAGATGCCGTATGGAAGCAAACAACAGTCACAGCGATTATTTTTCCCGAGCTTTTTCTGGCGAAATACCCTTAGCATCTCCTATGTCACCAAACCTACCTATTGATAAATATAAACAACTACTAGACGATCACATCAACTCGGATTTTACGGAAAAGCAAGATAAATTATACAATTCACTCAACGGCCTGTCTACTAAATGCAACGTTAAATCCTTAGATAGCACCAATACCACCAGCGAATTACTCATGCCTGCATCTAATCCACAGAATAATATAGTAGAAGCTTCTATAACCCTATGCCCCCAACTCTCAATAAATCCTAACTTTAATATTTCGGATAACTATAGTATATCCTACAACACAACGCTATCCGAAAACTTAGGCGCCTCTATAATACCCCCGACACTCCATAACAATAGTATTCAACAGCTAAGCCCCATTAAAATGACGAAGAAGCTCAGCCTCAGTGATTACAAGGCTGCAAGGCTCAAGAAAACAGACTCTTCCGCTGCATCAACTACGAAACAATCTCAAGGGAACAATAGCCCGACAATAAAAATTTCATCCCTCAAGCCTTCTTTGTTAGCTCGTCACGAGGTTAAGTCACCTGTTATGCTTGAGAATAACAGAAAGGAAGATTCTCCTACCTCAGATCAATGAATCAACAATTTTATTTCAGATCAGATTTCATCGATTACTCCTCCATAAAACTGGATTCAGTATTGGTCAATTGTTGTAAAGCTCATTAAATGAACTGGCTTCAATCGGTCGTAATGGCTATTTTCGTTTCATTGTTGTTTTGGTTGGGTTGCCGGTTGGTTTTTTGGGTTGGCTTAGTAGGCGCGCTATTTATGTGGGACTGGAATAAATGAATTACAGAAGCTAAATAGCATGGGGTATGGAGATAGGCGTATTTGGGACGGCATCAAGTTGGGGCGATTGAAAATTTTATGGAAGCCATCGTGAATTTTGGACGCTCAGCGTTTGAGCTGATAGAATTTCTGGGTTTATGAAGTTCTTGTACAGATACAAGCCGGTCTCAGCGATCTTTATGTAAAATCACGATATTAAGTCACGAAGAATCTACGTTATTTCTGACTGCCAAAGTCTAACAAATATAAAGGAATTATGTTTGACTGTGCTTTAAGAGAACGATTCTTATCAAGCGAGAATCGATGTTTATTTGATAGTCTTTATTATCAACAGAGATGAAATATTTTGTTTCACTGTAAGCCTTTGTTCCGTCTGGTCTTTGAGTACACGAGCACATGCAAGTCTTTTCTTCCTAGAAGAAAAGAGTATCTACGGCCTGGATAGTGTACTGACTCTGATGCTTCGTCCATAGCTTCTGTCCAGCGGCAATACCTACAAGGAACCTATACTGGACAAAAACTTAAAGGAGCCACTGTCCCGCTGTTATCTCTACCCTCCAGCCACCCAAATAAGGGCCATTTGTGAGTGCACAATTACGGGGAAAATTCTCGAATACCACTGAGTGCGGGGCTCCACTAATCTGAAAACAGGAATAAATCGGATGGGACAGCTGCTCTTTTGCAACGTTCGAATCTTTCGGCTAGCCAGTTGCGGTAGACGTGTGAATAACCTAGAACATATCTCTCCTCACCAAGCTTTCCCCTTTACTCGTCCCCTCATTCCGATGTCAGAATTTGAAGTGACCTTGTCCGCGAGCCGAATTTCACTTTCCTTGAGTGCGGAAGAATCTCTTACTTTGCTTTCGGAGGCTTTGCCTTGCCCGCCATTAGGAAGAATATGTGGGGATATGGCGAGAGATTCTCTGAATATTGAGGTAGCGTTTGGTACTGCGATATTTCCCTCTTGCCCAGACTTATTATAATTGTCGTGATTATCGCGGGGGTTGTCTAAAGCGTGTTTTTGAGAGAGTGAGGAGGATAACCTAGCTCATGGTTAAAAAAGATTTGACTCAATATAGAATCTGCAGATTGTTCGGTTAGAGTCGGAGGTTCACAGGGGACACCGCTGACAGGTGTTGAGTTTCTGACCCCCGATGGAATGTGTGGAAGATGCGTGATGTTTCCTTAGTAGTCTGGCTATATTTAAAATTCAGAAACACTAGAATAGCACAGTGGATTCAAATCCTGATTCAAGTGATCAAGATGCCAGCCATGCTGAGAGCCTGTAAAAATGTGCGAGTGGGTTGCCATAATCGAGAGATAGTGGTGTGGGTCCGGAAATGAGTTCTTTTGTAGATGAAGCCCTTAAATAGTCTCGCAGGATAGATTGATGCGACTATTAGTGTCAGATGTAATATTTTTAATGAATGACAAGCTGGCCTATAAATAGCGGGAGACTTCCACCTCGCATGTGTTTCATGATTACCAAAGGTAAAATCTTTGGCACCACATTTAAGGCCACATGACCTACAACATGAATGTCAAATATGTGTGGTTCGCAATTTCGCCCTCTTCAATCCCCTCCCATTAGTTCTTTGGCTCTATTCTTAAGCATTAATTACAAGTAGCCAAGTATCTGTTATGTCCTTGCTTGACAACCAGCTGTCTACTTTTTGTTATAGTAGTTACTGAACGAGTCAAGGAATCTATGATTGTAGCCGTAGGCATCATTATCGTTTCTTTTGGTTTGATTGATGACGAAAGAGTTTATCAATGCTAAGATAGACCCAATCACCCTTTTATCCTGCGGGGATGGGAATATTATGATGCAGGAACTTGGTAATTTATTTATATCAGGTCATCATTATGACTGGGCTACTAAGGCCACTGTAGTCTGAAGAAATGCATAGCTTCCCTTATTTGTCTTATAAGTTGAGATGAACTCTAGACTACAGGTTTACAACAAAGGGGAGTTGATTTTCTGCACATATATCGCAAGAAGCTATAATGCACGTTTTTGAAGTTGTCCGATTTGTCATTTTCCCCTTGTAGATGCTATTTGTCATGAAGTTATTCACTGCCTACTATTACCATTTCTCAGTCTGAGAATACGTAGGATGGGGTAAGACCCTCAGTGTATATTGGAAAATATTGAATTAAAGAAAGTGTAAAAGTAAGCAAATTGTTAGAAAAGCAGCAAATATCGTCACCGACAAGAGAACAGCCAGAAAAAGAATCACCCACAGGAACACACTCTCTTACATCCACCGGAACCTTAGTAGGGCCCAAAGCAGTATTGCAATTCAGATGAGAAGTGAGCACATTGGTCTCAATTCTTATCTGTATCGAAGGAAAGTCACCGGAGTGATTAATCCAAAATGTCAGTGTGGATATCCGTCACAAAGCGTGAAACATATGGTCTTAGCGTGTCCTCAGTGGGCAACGGGAAGAAGAGAGGTGCTTCGAAAGACAAAAGATAGGTCATTTGCGGCATTGATGAACAGCCCAGATGATATAGAGAGAATCACAGAATGGATCCTGGCAAAAGGCTGGTATTAACAATTCCGACTTATAGAAGAAGTTAAGATGGCAGTCAATGAAAGGATGACGTAATCGGGAAAATGATAGGACAGAATTCACACTGAATGAACAGTGTAAACGTACTTCCTACAGGACACCCCAGAAAAACCAATAGACATGAGAAAGACAGTTTTGGGGGTTTTACCGAATTAGCTTTCCTGTGTAAATATTATAGCTAGATAAATCTGAACGGGTTAGGTGATTGTTTAATTGTACGTGTTTATTGTCCTATGAAGTCTATGAATATGTAAGGATATCTAGGTCCTTTCTGCATACAGGCCAGGAGTATCTGTGCCTCGGGTAGTATACTCCCTCCTATGCTTCCTTTAAAACTTCTTTCCAGCACAAATTACCTACAAGTCTTCATTCGGGTGCACACTAAGAGGAGCCGTTATTCTATCATTAACTCTACTCTCCAGCCAACGAGACCATGGTCATTTGCGGGTGTGTATCAGCAAGGAAAAATCTTAGAAACCACTGGGTGCGGGGCTCTCCTATGACGAAGGGGCCGGCCAGCCGGGCGCAGAAGACCTGTGTATACCTAAGAGCGTCTCTCGACCTTCCTCTTTCCCTGATTCATGCCGCAGGACAAATCGAAGGTCGTGAAAGTATATCAGAAATGTCACGGTCGAAAGAGATTGCCGTGAAGGAGCCTAGTCTAGCATCCAAAAGCCTTTACGGACGTGGGGTAGACGGGTAACTCTTGTATTTCAGATGCCCTCCACGGGCCAGATGGAGTCAATCAAAAGTATATAGGTTTGGATAATCGAAGCTATCAAGCTATCCACGTTGTTGATACGCATGTGACTACAATTTCTGCACTTATTTTCACTTCCGTAGTGATTCGTATTAATGCGCTTGACAACCTCAATGATTGCGAGGTCATTATTTCCTCAACATAAGTTTTTACGGGCATCCAGGCAGCTATTTAGTAGCCCTTTACAGTTGTAGACCTAATAGGGACTTAAATTAAATTCTATTACATTCTACGTATGACATACGCTGACATAGACGAATTCTTCACCTTCCAGTGGTGCCGGTGTATTCGCTTAGTACACTCTGCTTATCTGGGATAGCCAAGAAGAATTGCATCCGAATCGATGTCGAATGCAACCTCAAGCATTTCAAAAATCGACGACTTTTCGAAAATTCTTCGACCTATCATTCTTACACGAGCCCTCCCGCTCAATCTTACTACACCACCTCGCCTCAAATACCGATAATGGCTTTACTCCAATACAATCAGGCATTTGCCTCATCAAAAACCGGCCATCTTACACTTTAAAATTACGATACTATGTATGCCCGCGAGGAGGAAACCAAGTCATAAACCACAAAGTTTGGGTTTTGGTCTATGGGGAACCGTTTCTCTAATGGGGCTTCACATATTGAGGATGGACAGGCATCTGGGACGTGGGACGAACGAGTTAAGAGGTCACAAATGGACATGCTGGGACTCATATTTTTTTGAGTTTTTCAACTTGAGAGTATCTGTGGGCGCAGAGGCAACGATTTCGGATAGTGCAACCGACACTTCAAAAACAAGCGACGATGAAAGGTGTTTTGGTCCACCTCCTGGTCGTCATCTCCCCGAATTAAAGTCTGGGTAGCCTGGACACTTACCTCACTCGAGAAAGGGAGGACTGTGAGGCCATATCTCGCGCGGCGGCTACATAAAAGATGACAAAGGCATGTTAGGGTAGCAAAAGGTTCTTCCTGTTTTCCATTTGGTGGATATTAACGGTTGAGGGAATGGTGAAAGTTCCTAGCACAAAGGTCTCGACTGGTGTCAGCGAACGCACCCACTACACGAGTAGTCCAAATGTCAAACTAAGTTATCGTCGTATTTAGTCGTCGGAGCAGCTAGTCTTCACCGTGTCGTGCTCTTTGAGTGCAGGGTTTGTGCCCGTCATGAATAAAATTTGATTCATTCATTCTTCGAGAGGGTTCGTAGGTTTCGAAAAGTTGGGCACTCCAAATTTTAGGATATCTCTGAAAGTCACCTCCACCACACCTAAGCTACTTTTGATACTTTCCATCATTCGTGTCTCGGGACAAATTGAAGGACGTGCGGAAATTTTTGAAAATTCCTGACAGGGTGTGCTTTATTTCAAACCACTCATTCGATTTGTATTCATTATCCTGATTTGGCGCCCTATGGGCCCATACAGGTGGCTATAACCCTATCTATATACTTACATAGGAGGAAACCTCTCGATAAAAACCTCCCCAGCTTCCTGGCTTGTATCTTTGAAATTTACAATTTATCCTTCAGGAAGCACAGTTACACTGTAGTGCCGTCTGTATGTACCAATCACGTCCCCTCTAACGACCCCAACCTTGTGCCAGTCCTGCCTCGTTCCCTAATCAGCATTTCGACTGCATTTGTCATGCGGAATTGATCTATCCAACTGTGACTAAGAATCCATTGCGTAATTCTTTTAATATCACCAGGATAGTCTATCAAGGCTTCGTAGGACCGGTCTTTGGCTTGTCTCCAGATCTCACCCCTACCGCTTGACCACTTAGGGTAGGACATGATCATATGCTTGGGATTTTGTGATTGGTAGCCACACGGACAGCATGGATTGTAGACTCCTGGTACTTTTCTTCTATGCAAATACGAATTGAGCCCGATATGCTCACTTCGAATTTGGATTGCTAAGCTACTTTGGGCCCTTATCAGGTTTTTATGGAGAGTAAGAGGAGTATTCTGGAAACTTATTCTTTGACGTCCAGTATGTCGGCAATGGTAGAACTTAGCTGCTTTCCAAGTTTTAGGGGCTGTTGACTTCGCTTAGGGGTAGACCAAAATTTCGCCCATTCTAGGTATGCTGCAATATTTAGCGCCTCTTTCTGTAACTCTTTAGATTTCTCCTCTCCGCAAATCTCTTTCCAGTAGGCAAGGTATGCTCTTCTATTATTTGCTCGAATATCTTCTCTCCCTCTTTTGGGCAGCTTGATCATATTACATGCAGATTAAATAGCTTTTTGGACTGGTCGGGAATTGAAACGGCCTACATATTGTACCCTTTGTTGCTTTAATTAGATTTCTATTGGAATTGTAGCAGTTTAGTGTTCCAGAACCCTGGTGCTGGTCGATTTATATGCCCCTGTGACTAGTTTTAAGCAATTTCTTTGAGAACTTCGAAGTGGTTTGACTATTCAAACCACTCATTATTTATTCAGCTATATAGCTACCAAATATAGTTAGTACCATGTTTTCATGTGAGATAATTCTTTTGTCTTCAGACACTCATATTCTAGATTTTACTTGCAAATATCACTTTGGGATTAATTTATTTTTGCAAAACAGTCCACTATCTTCAGTGAGTGCCCACTGGACGGAAATTAAAAACTTTTGTTTATCCATGTGCCCCTTCGTCGCCCATTTACACTGAAACCACGAGATATAGTGTCAAGCTCTGCTAGATTTGAGTCAGGAATCTCAAATCTCAAGTAGGATTGTTAACTTAGCCATCAAGATTCTACAGGGTAGACCTGACCTATGGATATACCATTTCACCATCAAAGGAAGCCATGTGGCTGGCGTCCAAACATACTCAAGGTCAAAGTTCCACTAAAAAATCTCAGTCTCTATACATCTAGTGATAATCTCTTTCATATTTCGTTTTACGTTCCAAATGTCTATCCTACCTCAAATTGTGAAGCCCCATTAGAGCAGCGGCCACCCAAAAGGTAGAACCAAAGTTTTGTTTCTTACAGTTGGTTTTCCTCCTTTCGGATGAACGTAGTATAATAGCTCTATAGTGAGAGTTAGATGTTGATAGACGGGGTAGTTCCAATTGTCAATAAAATAAGGCTATGTCTATCATTGGGCGACATTGTTTGTGGTTTAACTGAGTTAAAGAGGTCGTGTACGAATTTGTGGACCGTCATTGAAGAAAAGTCATTTGTAACAGATATGATTGTATTTATTCTCTACTTAGACTCAGAGGTGATATTCCCTAGCTTTTTCTTATCTGCAAAATTTATTCAGCATTTAAATAGGCGTCGCCGGAAGATCCTAACTTCGTTTTTGCTTTATCTATGCTGTTTTCTAATAGCGATTTATGGTACTACGCCATCATACTTATTTCATGATTTCTAGACTGGTCGCTTTTCGTAAGATCGGATTCCTCGCTGTCACAATCTCTCACAACATAGCTTTCAGTGGTATTTCTTTATTTTCCCGATGGGACATGTAGTTCTCCTTGTAATGATCAGACTAGAGTAGTAATTAGTTTCATTTTTAGCCAGTCACAGGTTAAAGGACGCTTACATACCTATAAAGTACGACACTGTAGAATTATTCTTTTCATTAAACGAGGTTAGTTTGTATAGCTGCACTCTGGTTGATGGGTGCGCAGTTTATTCTTTTCCACACGAAACCAACGGATATCTCTAGTGACTCTAGGAAAAGTTAGGGTTAGAGCGTCAGTCGTTCGAAAAAGCGGACTTCGAATTCCATTTGACTAAATTGATTTCTTTAGTTTTCAAGTTTAATTTTTTAGTATAGTTATCTTACGGTTAAATTATCTAGCAGAGTTTCCACGAGTGCAGTGCGAGTGAACTATACACCTTGTGAAAAGACTAACAATGTTATCTTTCAATGTGGAAAAACCTGTTCGTTTTGACTTCCATAATAAGGTTGAGATTAAAACAAAAAGGATGAATACCAAAATTTTGAATAATGTAAAGTATCTTCATAAATTTCCCATGTGAGTAGACTCGTCTAATAGTCATCGTATGCAGCTTTATGAGAACTAATTACGTCCGATTCACGAGGACGCGAAAAGCTAGGCGCAGACCCTAAGCCTGGTAAATTTCAAATCAAGTGCAAGAGATAATGATGGCTCAACTGTAAGTTTAAATATCATCATAAAATTGCTGTACTTAATTAAAAAGCACAATACACACATTACTTTAAATGTTAGCTATGAGACTTTGATGGTGATGATTGCAGCTTTCGTACTCAATGTCATATCTTGACCAAATCATCAAAGGGACGTCCCCAGAGACCGAGCTCGATACGAATTCATCAAGCGCTCCATCGGAACGGCGTAGCTCCTTACGTTCACAAAGATCATTATCCCCAACTCATACCTCACCACCTCAGATATACCTTAATCTTCTTATCCTAGAGGCATCATTGCGCGCTCAGTGGCTTCAGCTTCGTACAAGAAGACGACAACATACATTTTTCTTGGCGTTGCTGGCCTTTTGGATCGCATACTTTGGATACGCACTCTTTCTTGCACCCAGAGAAGACGGCAGCGGTGTTGGGGGCTCCATATATTGGGTCATAGATGTCGGCGAGAAGATCTGTTTGATCGGTGGTATAATAACAGGAATCCTAGTTTGGGGGACTGGACAATGGGAAAGGGGAATAAAATGGCCTCGCCGCTGGGTATACAACACCAATCGAGGATTAAGGGAATTCAATTGCAAGGTGGTGATCATTAAACAATCATGGTGGTCAGAATTCACTTCTATGGTTTCATTTTTATTTTCACATGGTCTATTTTTTAGTAGCGGCGGCTTACATCGTCAATACAATGATCATACGATTCCTAGAGAGAACGAAAGGACACAGAAAAAAGGAAAAAATCATTCTCTACAAAAAAAGCCCGATTATTCGGATGTCAATGACGAAGATCTTGAGCCTGGGGGGGATCATGTCAAATTATTGCTCCTTCCAAAACCATTTTCCCCGATCTTCCGCGAAAATTGGGACATATACAGGACTGAATACTGGGAAATAGAAAACGAACGAAGGGCTAACTTACGAAAGAGCATATTGGATCGTGAAAGGAAGATAGCTAGGCAGCAGGGAGGTATTTTTTGGTGGACTGGATATAGAGGTAAGAATAGGGGGAAAGGCCAACCCCATGAAAAGGAACGAGATTACACCCATAAGCATCTCCAGAATGAGAAGGACAGATCTCGACTTCGCAGTGGAAGTGTTAGATCTGGCCATCAGTCTCTAACACATCAAAAAACATTCTCCTCTACCGAATCAAGGGAAAGACCATCTACCCCCACTTCTCTCCGAGATTATACTACATCCGGAAAGCGGAATAAAGGATCGTTACTTGGAAACTAACCTAAACATTTAGTCAGACCTAACATCAATTCGATCATTTCCGAGGCTTCTTCTAAGGCCAAAAAAGAGTATAAAGCTCACACCTGAAAAAATGGAGTTGTTTGCTACTATTAACACGGGAGGTGGGCCTTCAAAAATTTGAATAATGTTTGTAGCACTTTTAAGTATTAGCCAATCACAAATGTATACTTTTCGAAGCAGGTAAATTTAAATTTTTTGAAAATGTTTTGAGAAAACATTTACAGAACATGTTTCAATATGTCCTTGATGACCATAATCACAAATAGCCGTTACAAGTATATCGTGATCCAGTTTAAGGTTACAAATGTTATTCAAACATAAGTATTTGGGCAATTTTCTGTCTATAAATGAATCAAACCAAGCTCCTAAAGTGATGTCCCGAATTCCCACTCCAAAAATACAGTGTAGAAATTACATATTACATATTTAGAAAACTACTGCCACTCATCCCAGTAATATGATTCGTTATGAGGAGTGGGGTTCGTGTTCGTGACAACTACCCTACTCCACCCATTTAAAGATACAACTATAATCGGCACGAGGACCTTTAATAAACGAGAGAAAGAAAACTAGAGAGATATCCAAGGAGATTCAGGTATTTGTCCCGCTAAAAGCGGTTATCACTGATTTAAACATACCAAAATCCTTCTCCACAACTTTCTCGTTATTTCCTCGCCCTGTAGGCCTTAATCCCTAGCAGAATGGCTCCTATACGTTTTTATTGATATGCGGTCCCCTTAGTTTGTTGGTCTACTAACTATTGACAGCCGTGAATCCTTATTCTTCAACCGTGGCGCCTGAGTGTATTCCTATCACGGTTAGTTTCTTAAATTTTTCGATTAGTAAGCTGATGTCCCCATTTCACTATCTGTACAGAGCTGGTACTACTTACCCGGATCAATGCGAAAATGCCCAACTCATTTGTACATTGTAAAACCATCATTTAAATTGTAGCTAGTTCAAACCATTTCTAAATCTAACCAATAATTTATAATAGAGTAGCAATATTACAGCCAACTATCGGCGCTCCTTAAACCGATTTCCTCCCTGTGACGACCCCGGTCATGAATTAGTTTCTAGATCCATACTAAGGACTTTAGACAAAATCAATGGTTGGCTTTTATGGAGGCCAGCTTCCCGCGCAAAGACTAAAAAATTTGCGATTCATTTGGGCTCAAGAAGAATTTCGAAGAATTGGCGGTAGGTAGTTATCCCCCGAAGTCAATTCGTATGGCGAGCGTATTATGAGTAGTGCATGAAGTCTGTAGGTGCGACCTTCCCTCCACGAAAACAATGAGTAATATTTGTGGTGTTAAACGTCGATCGCCATGCTGGTATGATTTATTATACCCGCATTACAGTATCTCAGCCAAATATGGCAAAACCCTCCGTTCTCCAACAATCTGGGTTAAAATTTTTCACTGAAGCCTTGCCAAGGCTAGCCATTAATTGAAACAAAATTCCAACACCATTGAAATCCGAGGGGGAGGGCAAGACTGAACACCTGTACGCGGTGTCCTCTACGAACCTGGGAGTGAAATATTCTCCCAGAGCCAAGTTCAGTCAAACTTCGCAATACCGAACAAGTTGGCCCACGAGGCAATGATTCAAATTACTCCACCATATCAATCTTTCACTCCCAACGAAATCGATTCCTACCTAAACCTCATCAAGTCTACAAGTACGACCTAGTACATCCTAATCCCAATGACCACACCTCTTGTCGACTTTCTCTGGCCTTAGCTGGTCGCCAGATACACGCCCACGCCGATATTTACACCCGACGGAGGAAGCAAAGCGTGGCGCACAAATCTGGAAGACAATTCCTTGGGATGGATGTGAGAGGGATCAGGACAAGTTAATAAGATGATGCAGAGGATTGGATACAGTCTCGACGGGCGTGGAATTTTGAATCTTGGAAAGGAGTTTTTACAAATTGAGCTTTGTGCGTGCCAAGACTTCGGCTGCGAGAGTGCAGGCGACACAATAAACACCGCCATGGTTGGATGGTGCGGTGGTACATCGTCTGGGCCGGTCTGCCAAGTAGAGTCTGGATAGTTTGGACACATATCCCACTCGAGACAGTAGATCGCTGGTTCAAATCCGGCAAAACACAACCACATTTCTCGCGGCGCTGGTATGCATGGATGACGAAGGCATGCTTGGATAATCAAAGGTTTCGAAATTCCCTTTGGTGGGTACTCATGGAGGAGGGTCGACTGTTTGTGTAAGCAAACATACCTCATAGTGGTATTTGCGAATGAAATCCAGAGTATGAGTGTCTCTAATGTCAAAAGAGTCATCCAATATGTAAACATAGCACTGGTCATGTGTCATAGCTCTATAGCTGAATACACATTAAATGATTTAAAAAAAAAAAAAAAAAAAAAAGAAATCCGAGGGAGATCCTCCTCATCCTACAACATCTAGTCCACCAAAAGTTACAACTCATCAACCAATACTGGAATCATCATTGGAATCATCCATGTGGAATGACATCTTAGCACCACTACCCATTAACAACCCATCCACTAAATTCAATTCATCAATGAACGTCATTTTTATGGACTTTAGCAGCGACCCTATAGCAGGTCCCTCTCATGATCCAAAGAAATTCTCTGGATCCCATCTTGAGGGTGACACTGGAAAACGAGGTGGTAGCCTCACTCAGCCACAAGATACTCGACGAAAAATCCAACTTGTTTCAGATGAGACAGAAATAATATCATTCAAAACACCCCGAGATGCGCTTTTAGCAGCTAGAGACAAGATAATGCATGCCTATAACCTAACTAGAAACAGAGTAAAGCAGGCTATACTACTAGATCTACTTGATATTTTCAGGAAATATACTGAAGAGGGGCAATTTTCAAAAGCATCTGCAATTATCACCAACCAAAAATGAACCTAGAACAAGCCACCAAGAAAATTGAAGACAAAATCAGGGATTTACTATACACTAATATCAATGTCAACCAACCAAAGCCAGCAATGAAAACTACAGCTACCTTATCCAAACCTTCCCACTCCATTAGCTTTGCAAATATCCTGGCATTTAAGGGTGAATCATACACCCCAGATTCCCAAGAATGGACTGTTGTTGGAGGAAAAAGAAGACTGGTATCACTCAACCACCCAACCAAACACAACAAAAAGAGAAGAAAGTAAGAAGGCTGATACTAGTCGAAGCCCTACACACACCAGAAATGACATCGCTACTTGCAGCCAGAAATGCTCTTTATAGAGCCATGGCTGAGCGGAGATTTCAGGGACCAGTAGTCAAGTTGGTGAGCAACACATTGGTAAGAAATATTTCTGTTGCAGTAACAGATGATTATAAAGCTGAATATAATGGTTCGAAGTAGAAATGTTTTCGAATTTGACTGTATGCTGTGTATAGAAGATCTTAAACTAAAGAAAGAAGATGGAAAAGGAAAAGTCTTCCTTATAAACATTGAAAGGTGGTCTGTGCTGTTACCAGACTATACCAAAATAGAGGAACTAAATAGTCACTTGATTGGTACCAGCTCAGATCAGTCACCCAAGCCCAAGCCTTGGCTGCCTTAGGCTCTAGCCTATGACATTGCCCTCTCTGTCCCATTTCTTAGCTTTTGCTCTAGCTTTGTAAGCATCCAATGCACTGGTCTCTTGAAAATCATGTTGTGGGTGCCATGATGGTTTGGCATAACCTGCCCACTTCACAAGCACCTCTTTCCTACTGCCCCCTCCAATCTTTCTATTCCTTGAGTCTATAATCTCATCAACTCCAAATTCTACATCACCAGTACTTGTTAATATTCCTGGAGGTTGAGAATCATCTGACTTTTGTGAATGAAGAGGATCATCATGGGCTGGTCTTAAGAGTGATTTGTGAAAATTATTATGAATACCTCTAGGAGTATCTAATTCATAAAAGTGAGCTGAGTCCGGAAATATTCTAGTTATTTTGTACTTGGCATGTATCCAGTCAAGTTTCTTGGAGGGTCTCTCAGTGTTTATATTCTTTAAATTTAACCAGACCAGATCTCCAAGCTTATAAGTAGGTGCAGTATCTCTAGAATTGTTGGCATATTTTTCTTGAGACTGCTGGGCAACTGCCATTGATGTCTGTGCAAACTGATGCGCCTCTGAGAGCTTCTCAATAACATCCTGACCTCTTGAAGCTGGTGTTCCTGGAGAAGAGGGATTATGATCTGATACTAAAGATATAGAGATTGCATCATATCCATGGGTCATAAAAAACGGACTTATCTGAGTTGTGGTAGCTATTTTGTTATTGATAGATACCTGTGCTAGTGGGATTCAATCTTTCCAGTCTGACTGTTCATAAGCAATGAATGTTCTCAGATAAGTTTCTACCTCTTGATTAGCTCTCTCTGTTGAACCGTCAGTTTCTGGATGATAGGCTGTTGATAGCCTCTGGTTGATCTTAAGTCTAAGACATATAGTGTTCCAGAATGCATTAACAAATTGAGGTCCTCTATCAGAAACAATTGCCCGAGGAATCCAATAGTGAGGCAAGTAG